AATGAGGCTTATGCTGCAGAAATCATTGTCAAATAAATATTCTTTTCAACACGTCCAGAGTTATGTTGAGTCTGCACTAACCATTGAACGACTTAACATTCCTAACGTATTATGTAGCAAGCACAATAATCCCCTACCGAGAAAATGTTCAATTAGAGAAAAAAACCTTGACCGGGAATCCCCAGAAAAACGCTTTATGACCAAGTTGCTTGTCGTACGACCCCTAGAAACCATTTACGTTCAGATAAAGAAACCAGACTATTCCACCTACCGGTGACATTTACCTTTCTCGGATACAGTAAATAGGAAGGATTTCTCTATTTTGATAAATATCTCCGAAACCAAATGTCTAATTAGGTAAAAATCGATTCTTTAACATTCTAAAAATCTGTTGGAATAAAATCAGCTCAGCCATTTCCGACGACATTTAGTTAGATATCGAAGCTAGCTAATTGTTTTCACAAGATATTATAGCCTTTCGGTATAATAACGTATCAAATGAGCCCCTTTTATTATGCAGTTTCTTATTAGTCAAATCTCGACAAAAATATGTACAATCGTGACCCGAGTGAATACCCCCATTCCCTTTAACAAAAAATCATATCAGCTGATGTTAGCTTCATGGACGTAAGGTTAACGGTGTTTTGTTGTTAAAATGTACACACTTATCCAGTCAGTAAAGTTTTACTGGGTTTTGAATTGCGGAACTGTTCGTTAAAAGTTTAAAAATATGTGGAAAATTAAATAATGAGAACATTTGTTCCGAACTTGTACAAGCTCAGTTCTATTAACCCCATTTAATGATAGAAAATATAATTTGTCGATACCATTGATTCCTTACGGATAACGGTCATTTGAATGTTTACCGACTTTTTCAGCAATTCAAAAACCCAGTAAAAAATACTGACTCCTGTAAAATAATCTAAGTGTGTCTGGTGGGTGTATTTGTGTGTGTGGCAGAATAAACTTCTCTGAAGTTTGCTCATTTGGGTAAATAGGTACGCGCACTCGGTTTTTTTGGACTCATAATTTTAATTTATTCAAAGTTCTGCACTAATGCTTGGACATATAGACTTCTCTGATGTTTGCTGAATGCTTAAGTAGGAGTGTAATAATTAGGTGAGTGCGCGTATATGTACACGGTTTCTTGCACGTGTAGTTTGAATCAGCTTAAATTAAAAGCACTTGCGTATTCAGAGAAGTCCAGAAGTCTGCCTATGGATTAGTGCTGCAGTGCCACTATGAAAACGTATGACATTTTTTCCTCTTATAACTTCTATGGTGTTGTAAATCCTCTGGTGCTGATCATTGAGGTTAATTCAAATTATAAGTGCAAGAAAACCATGTACATATACGTTTACCTATACTTATGAAAATCCCAAATGAGCAAACGTCCGAGAAGTCCATAAGGGTTGTAGTCCGGTCTACATAGTCGATCAGACCGACTCAAAATTGATTCGAGCCTACTTAATTTCGTCAAAACTGGATTTACTTAGAAGTGAATTTTTCGGGCAAAAGCCGTGGAGAACAAGGAAGGATGAGGAAAATACATGAAAATTTTACTCAGTCTAGAAGTATTTCAATTGACTGAGGAAAACCTCTAGTAATTTTCCCCATAGTCTAGTAGTTTTTCCTGTAAAAGCCCGGAAAATTCAACTCACTTCTACACAGCAAACAATTAATTTTAATATCGCATCAAAGTGGATGCACTTTTGACGAAATTGAGTAGACTCGAGTCGAAAATTGAAATCAAAATGGGCTCTTTTAACCACACCGAGACCCAAAAGATATATTTATTCATATTGTTTGTGCCTAAACCATTAATTCTAGGTAAATAGTGTCTTCGGAAAAGCTTTTTTTTTCATTTATTTTAGTCAATCTTTTGATAAGAGTGAAGTTAGCGTTGTTCAACAGTCTACTTCATAACGGTTGAAAAAGTTATAGAACAATGTATTTGAAGCAACTTTGCTGAAAAAAAGAGTTATTGATCTGTACATACTTAAACTAGCCCGGTAAAATCTCCAACAGCCGATTACCTCGGCATTTACTTTTGCTGATAACTCTGCAAAATTTCTGTTTATTAGCTGATATCTCAGCAAAATGTTATTTGTTAGCTGAGTCTAGGCAATTTTTTTTACTGAATCTCAGGTAAATAAATTGCAGAAATGCTCGGCTCTTGGAATCTCGGCGAAAAAATTAAGTGTGTAATGGTTCACGATTTAAACAGTTTTTAATAAGTAACTTAGGATGACTCCTCAAAACACTGATTGCATAAATTAACGGTGCCGGTGGTTGAGTGGTAAGTGTGATTGCTTTCACACCCAGTGTGTGGGTTCAATTAACGTTGAGGATTTTTCTGATGCGAAAAAATCTCTGGTAACGTCTTCCTTCGGAATTGAAAAAAGTCCGTTGGTCCCGGTCCATGTATTGATGGATTCGATAGGTTCTAGGTGGAAGTCGTTTCTTTTTCATTCGATTGTCGTTAGTCATTAATCACCCTTGAATTCTATTATTTTGAAAAATATATCGGGTACTATACATCATCTGAAAAAGGCTCGTTTTCTGAGCACAACTATTTGTTTAAACCGAATACTATCATCTTGATTTTTAAATCAAGAATCAAACCAAAATGATATATTGTGCTTTCTGACACTAAACTAAGATGGTTATTTTTGTTATTGTAGCCACAGTTGGAAAAATTCGTACTTTTTTTTCTGAGTCTGACATAAACGAGCGGCAATTTTTACATAAAAATGGGTCATAACAGCCTCAACATTCAGCTCAATCAAACGTACTTTTCATCCAGTAACGAACGTGAATAGCGTGTACTTAAAAAAATATATATATAAAACATTTGAGATAGAAAATTTGTTTCTTCGGAAAAGTTGCTACAACTTTGATGAACATTATGACATTATGCGAGTGCTAGAGCGAAAATAGTACACTTACCCTTTTATACCAGGAAAAAAGTTGGTTAGTCGCTAACATCTATTGTATGTTCTAACACTACGTTTATTGTAGAGGAATTAAGAAACCAATACTTTCTTTTGCGTTTTTTTTCGTTTTTTTGCGTGTAAGGTTCACTAAATTACAATTAAAACGTTTTTTTTTTTTTTCGTTTTCTTTAGCAAAGGACAATTTTAATGTAGAGGGCTTTTCATAAACTACGTAGACAGTTTGCGGGGGGGTTGACAACTATCCACGGTCCATACAAATTAAAAAAAATATGGACAATTGTCTACGCAGGGGGAGGGGGCCCGTAGTTAATGAACAGGCCGTAGGTACGAATAAAGGTAGTCATCCCCTTTACACAACTAATATATCGTATAAAATGTTCACTTTAAGTCTGATATTTGATGTTAAGCATCTTCAACTATGTAATTCGTTTATTTCACGCATGAAACAATAAAAACATGATAAGTTAAAGTAATCAATTCTATCTTGACTGTTTCTACCGTTATTTTAAAAGTTATGCGTATCATGCATTATTCAAATTTCATATCTCGATCGAGAAAGATTAATAAAAAAAAGCTTGAGATGGCATCTGGAAGGTCACACATAACATAAAATTTGAACTGGGAACAACAACAGGTTTTTGTGAGTACATACTTTAAAAATCCATAAAAGAAGTCTATAATTCCATATAACTCATGAAAACAAAAACATAACACCTTACTGTCTTGACTGTCTGATTGCAGGCTTTAACTAGCTCTGTAACTAGACTAAGAATTATCCCCTGGCATCATACAATTTGTCAAAACATCATGTCGATGTAGTGTGAGGCGAAGCTGACATGATTTTCTGGCATATCAGCAGATGTCACACCGCCGCCTTTTCAGCTGGCGCTTAGTCTTACATTACTGTTTTGAGAATTATCCATTATTTTTCAATGTAAAGGTATATCAACACAGTTTGATCAGCAACAATGTGCGTCATTATTTTATTTACAATCTTCTCAAGACCACTTTCTAAAAAAAAAACTAAGCAAAATCGTAAGAAAAAAAAATTTGGAGCGCCCTAATTGAAACCTGTAGAATTGCTCCTCGACGGTCAATTAAAAAACTAGGTAAATTGTGTAGTCAGCAAAGTTGCTTGAAATCATATGTTCAAGAATATTACCAACATCAAATAATAAGGTTAGATTCCGGATTTAAATTTGAATTGTGATCACCTTTATCAAATTCTCCATAAAAAGAGAGCCCATTTACTTAATTCCTTCCTTAAACTTCTAGGAAATCATCAACCGTTAAAAAACGAATAAAAACTTTGTAAATATTTTGTTCTCGTTTTCCGTTTAGGACATTAGTGCAATGTTAAGAATATTTATTGGAGATACATATATCAATAAATGCATGATTATGTTGTATTTATTTAATCATAGGTTTCAGAAATATAGATGCACTTGAGAACTAAATACGCACCTGCTTGTCATAAAATCTATTCCCAAAATGGTAATCTCCTAAATAGAGAAAATTAATTCTATTCCTAAAAGATTGTTTCATGACCCACGCATAATGCACACAATGGAATTAATACGTTGCGAAAACTAACAGACAATAATTTTAGCTATCATTTTCCGCAACGTATTAAATCCGGGTGCATTGTGAGCCGGTCTTGAGTTCATGACAATTTTACGATGATTTTTCGTGGCTAATAATGAATTGATCAAATTTCTGTAGATTCTTTGCTCGCTGCATAGAAAAAATGTCCATGAGCAATAATGATAATAATGAATGAATTTCTTTACCTCTAATGAACACTCATTGCTTATACAATACACATAAATGTATGTAGTATATTAAGCCATAGCTTATGAATAAATGAAATAAAAACACCGGTCCTCCCGAAACCGAATAAAAGTTTGATTGAATTTTCAATTCTACTGAAAAAAAAAACCTTTATTGATATTGCCATCGATACATTGTATTGATCCATTTGCGTTCAATTTGCCACATAACAAAATATACAAAGAAATTTCTTTCTCATTCCACCAAGCCAAATGCATATTGTCTCATTTATAGCTCTTTTCGTACTAACATTTCACTAGGACTAGTTGCTTTAGCACTGGTTAATCGTTTTCTGTAGGTACTAAAGTAAAATTTGAAGAACATCGACAGTAGCACCACCATGTAGGGCAGATAGATGAATACCAATACCATAGGAATTGAACAGCTACTGCGCATAGCAAATCCGACGTTCACCAAAATGCTCATTAACTGAACCTAAAGAAAAAAATCCAAAAGTTATTTCGGTATTTAGGCCATGAATGATTCAGAATACACTTACTATTTGGAAAACTGTGATGAATTTCTTAACGATAGTCAACTTGAAAGGCAATTGTTTCGAAAAAATCGCCACCAAGTAATAGGAATACATGAACATATGCACCGTTGAGTTGACGATGATCGTGTACGTCAACATGCTACCTGTGAAGGTGAAAAGAAAATAAACAATACGCTATGTAAATGAGTTTTCAACATTTCACACTGTGACTTACCTCCGACATATTTTGCAAATATCCATGCAATGGAAAATGTGCAAGCATGGTGATAAACGTGCAGTACACTGATCTGGTTTTGCTTCTTCCTCAGCGCGAACATTACCGTCTCTATGAGTTCGATTGCCTTGATCACATAATTGAAGTAAGATCCATACATGAAACCTATTGCACTGGAATCGTCGGAATAATCTGGTAACTTGCACGAATACAGGTAGTCAAACGTCCAGCCGTGTTTGAAAAAATGCCGAATTAATAAATAGCACGCTATCACTTGGAAAAGATTATAACCAATCATAACGTTCTTCAGCTCGAATGATTTCCGATTCTTCATGTAACTGTAGAAATAAATTAAACGAAGATAAATATTACTAAGCTCTGCTTCACATTTATCACATGTTGCACCTACTTTGGTACCCAGATGTAAACCGCTCCAAAGTATAGAAGGAGAATTGAAATGGGCCACATAGGACTATAAAGTAAAGGCAGGTCATCTGTCCGTTTGTCTGCCAAATCATCCACCAGGAATGTGTACCAATTCTCTAGTCCACTAAACGAACTTGTCGTGTTATACTCCATTTTTGCTGGCTTAGTATCAATCACCAATTTCACCACGAAAAACTTATGTCACTTTAAATTACATATACTATCACTTTTGTTTGTACAGGTTGCAACAATCGCACGAAATATACTAAACACCCATCTGTCGGTTTGGCGGTCCTTTTCGAAATGATGAAAATTTTCGTCGTCTCTGCCCCTTTTAGGTATTGTTGCTGTTGCGACCGTTCGTCAGCCCGGTCATACAGCAACTGAAGAGAAGATGTTAAGTTCGCGACGCACTCGGTCACACTGAACGACTGGACGGAGTGATGCTACTAGGATATTCGGTTTGATTTTTTTTTTGCAAATTAGTGATCTGTCTTAACGTTTTGGACTTCCCCTACTTACTGTATGAGATTGACGATTCGTTTACAATCTATCAGCAGTTTTTCTGTGAAAAAAGTCTGTCCGAGAAAAAATTGATGAAAATTGTTATCACATTACACAAACCAATTCACTTATAAACTTCTTTAATTCGGTCTATTATGTTTCAATTATAAACGTCTCGTTTCCTATTAAACGTTGAACGGGGAAGTAATTCACGTTACTTAGTTTGTATGGGTTAACAAGGAACTATTAAACTTGATTTTAATAGGTAACATGTTCAGAATACATGTGATTAAGTTTTTGCATTTGTTTAGAAACCATGATGCATCAAGCTGTTTAATTTTTTTCCTAGTTCACTTTCTTGCTAAGTTAACACAGATAGTGGATCCGAAAAAAAAAAATTTTACTAACGCGTGTATATTTTTTTTAACAATGATAAACATTTCCTCACTTTCAAAGAAGAACTAACCTGTGGCTAAAAATCTCCTTAAGGTTATTCCTGGTAGAGTTCACAAATTGCCACCACGTAGGCTACATACATTTCCACTTCGAATTTTCACTTACACACATCTCGGAAATTAATGCCCCATTTCACCTGAAATTGCTACTTCATTATGATGCTTGTTACACAATCGACGATAAACGAGTGGTCGATGGATGGACTCCAAAATCTCAGCGTCCATGGTTAAATTCCAGTTTGATCAATTTTATTCCGTTTTTATCGACATTATTTGTTATGGCAAATTAATGAAATTTATATTAATTTCTTGAGGCTAAAAACATATGAAGTCTTATGAATATCGAAAGTTTATTTTGCTGAGTGTTCAGTACCGGATTAATTAACATATATTAATTAACATTTTATGGAAAATAGCGATAAAATTTAATAATTCAAATCTTTCCCTAAATAATATTTTAAAACCAATCAATTTAGAAATGTTGACGCCCAAATTTACTTTTAACAAAGTAAAAAAGAAGTAAATGCAAGTTGATTATTCCGCCGTTTCGAACAAGGCGTGCGCATGTGAAGTAAACAGCTCAGATAAATAGTGTAATGATTGATACTTGAACCTAGTAGACTGTAGTCCACAATGGATAGAATTTCTCTGCAATTTGATTTCCCAAAAGGACCCAACGCAACTTCTTTGCGAGGTTATAAAGACGATTACTCATTGATGCATAAAAAAAATAACACTGCATTAGTAAAAGCATCATACTTGGTATTTTCCCAGACTATTGAACACCATACAGCCGATCGAAGAAAAATATTCCTGCCGTCAAATTTTTGGATTTTGCATTGTTCCGTACAGTAACAGTAAAGTGACAAACAGATACTTAAATTTCCTGAATCGAATTCCACAGAATGCGGATTGTATCAGACGGCCAAGAGGTACTTCAAGACTACATTCAGGACATTCCGTGCAAGCTCTACCACAAACCGGATTACCCCGTGTAGCGAACCGTCTACAATGACGACTTCCCCTCTAACACATCAAGCCACACAGCAAAAAATTAATTTTGATATCACATCAAAGTGGATGCACTTCAATCGTGTCAAAAATATGGTGTAATATAACTTGCCAAAAAGTACAAAACAAAAGAGTACAAAAGAGAACGGAGGATTCACTTGCTGCGCGAGCAAAATTTGGACACGCTGCTCCTCTTGGTTGGACGTCATTTTGGAAACTGGAGAGCAAACGGTGAATTCTCATCATAGCAACCATTGTATATACATACACTCAACTTCCAAATGCAGCATTTCAGGTTTTTTAATGCATTTTTAACAGAAATACACCAATTTGAAGTTGACCAATTTTTGGACGTTCCAGACTTTATTCGAAGACCTACTCTTCTTCTTTCTAGTAGTGTAGACACATTCTGAAAAACACGACAGAAAACAAGATGAAAATACCTTCTTTCAATAGCGCGGGTTTGCGCGTGTACTCAGTACACCTTATGTAACGGTCCGAGAATAAAAAAGTTACGATGCAGTCTTCAGCAAAGATGTTCAATTGGATGAGACCCGTTCAGTAATGATTATTTTAGTTGAGAATTGACGCACTGGCGGCGCTTGATCAATTTGACGAGATCCGTTTAGTTGTAGCTAGTGCAGTTGGGAATTAACTCACTAGGTGGCGTCCGAGTGTAAATACACCCACTAGGCAGCATCAGAGTACAAATAAAGTTCTGCTTTTGATAAACTTCTATGTGGCCTCCATCCTGTCCTGATATATCTATAGAAGAAGTTTATTTGTACTCTGGCGCCGCCTAGTGAGTTTATTTACACTCGGGTGCGAGTGCGTGAAAAACCTACCATTTAACGAAATTTCAAAGAAGAATGTAAATCTCGCATACTTTTATAGAATGGGAGCATTTTGGTGCAGCTATTGAGCAACCGGTGGAATTTGGTAGGACTATTCCATTTGAATGTCTATATAATTTATGGAACAAATCGATTCGACTGAAAACGAATAAAAGGATTAGAATTACACCTGAAAAATTACCTTACGTAGTTGGAGGAGCTTTAAATAAGTGTACACTGTGTTCAATATGTGCGTCTCGTAACGCAAGTGGATCATCTCATGAGACACTTTCCACTGTGTAAAATCAACCGATGTCCAGTTTTAATCTCTTTTTGTTGATTATACCCAGTTTTTCTGTTTTTTTTTTTTCAAATATTGGAAATGTATGTAATGTCGGCCTAAGTGTCCCTAATTTGGGCCCATACATAAATTGAGCAATCGACTAAATTTTCAATAGCAATCAAAAATATTCATTAGTACCGTCCCAATAACGCATCCATCTAGATAAAATTGATCAATAGCAGATTTTTGGGCCCAATGTTAGATCCATAGGCCAACATTAGAGCCATTTCCCCTACTAGTGGCGGTTAAAACTAACGACACTCGCTTCGTTGTCATGCGCGACAGTCTGTTTTTACTCGTACTCTCATGCTCTACCGTCGTCTCTCTTACACAACACAAACGGCAGAACAACATTCGAGCAAAGAGAAAATTTTCAAATGACTATCATATGAGATGTGTGATTTCGTTCTAATTCCTCAATTTGGTGTAAATTAAACCATATCTAATCAGAAATGTTATTACTAGGACATCGTTGCTTGCTATTTTAAGAATTCACACAAGCACAACATCAGCAGCATTTATTATGAGAAAAACTAAAATACATACATTCGTGACGGTCTTCGGCAACAGTGTCGTATGACAGAGCCTGTCATATGACATTTTAATTTGGTACTGATAGCTTGTTTTGCAAGTGTCGGAAGCAAAGGCAGTCAATTATCACAGAAAATATGTCGACTACGGTGACCACTTACAAGACTGGTTCCAATGTTTTCCTTTTTTGTTTTACCTTATAGGGTAGATCGCTACTTCGTCGTAATGACCCATTTTCGTTCTATCGAGCAGAAAACATCAATCATACCAATGATTTCACCGTGCACAAATCAATAATACGTTTCTCGATGAACATTTCAAAAGGTCCTATCTGCTTTGTTCGATTCTCTTTATAAACTTTCTATTTGCATAACTACTGCTATGCAAACAGATTTCGCGCTATTTTTACCACATGGTTTGATGAAGCAGGTTCTTATCTAAGTGACTAACGAAAGAGAAAGTCGACGAAGAGAATCGTTCAATGCAGATAGGACCCTTTGAAATGTTTATCTAGGTTTGTTTGTTTCTATGCGTTTACTTATAAACTACAAAACAAAGCCTATGTATACATACGATCGCGTGTGAATATTTACACCCATTGTTCTCAGAACAAAAGAAGCGCTCCTAAAAATCCATTTTTCTGCCTTAGTTCGTAGAATGGAGGAAAACCTAGAAAAACCAAGGTCGTTTCAATGCGTTAGAACTGAACTGAAACTCGTAGAACGAATTTGGAACCAAGAAGCAGTGTTAGATTTCTAACAATATCTAAATAATTTGTAACATTTTATCAAATCCAACGGTACCTATAGAAAGGTAAATAAATTTGGAACATTCGAAAAAGAGAGGTTAAGCGTAGGTTGTTCTTAGTAGCCTTAATAAAATTTGTATGATTATTTTGCTTAACGACGTTTTCAGAGTATCATCCAAACCATTTGTGGAATAGTTCATTAATTTGGATTATCGTTCGGGCATGGTGTTTTTTTTTTAGGAACACCCCTCTTTTTCCTGTTAGCTATTTCTTTTCCATTCCTTCATTTCTTTACAGAAAGCGACTAATGGCGATATAACCGTAGACAAACAGACACAACACATTGAATATTTCTCACTGTAAAACATCGTCGCTAAAACACTATCGACATCTGTTGAGTAAAAAGTGATGGCGGTACGCTCAACAGATGGTGGTAGTGTGTAAACGTCAAACGCAAGGGAATTGACAATGCGTGCCACAAGTGGTGGTACTACCAATTATGAAACATTTAAATTGTCGTTAAATGCGTGATCGATGGTCAAGCTTATGTCTGGACATAGGACATGAGTTAGTAGTCTTTTATCGACCGCCAACACACACACACACACACACACACACACACACACACACACACACACACACACACACACACAATTGAACACCATACAGTAATTGCAACATGTTTTACATGAGTGTCAGTATATTTATTAGGTATGCGCGCACCGTTTGCAATCATTCCTGTAAATCTTCCATGTTAGAACAGAAATGAAACTTCAGATCCAAAAGTGACTCACATACACAATTTAAAAAAATAGTGTGAATTTGCGTTACTATCATGCACATAAAAGGAGCGTCATACATCACACAAGTTTACATTACAGATCGTGTAAATTGATGACACATGTCATGCATATATTGTATGCAACTGTCCTTCTTTGTAAGCAACATTTCTTGCAAGCTGCTAGTTTACGTGAAAAGGAAGTTTACATGCATACATTTT